CCGTCCCTTATCCGATCTGGATAGTATAACATCTTTATTTTTCTCGTAATCATTTGAACAAATGACTCATTTCAACTCTTATGCATCTTCGTTTCACATGGTCATATAAATGTGCGTTTACAGCTGGACGAGAACACGCGAAATTGATGGCCAATATCAATTCTGCCCACATATGTCTTCTGATGTTGATGAAATGGATAAAGGGAAAAGGATGTTTTACATAATTCATTTGTATTTAGCTTGACATTCTGAAGCTGGTAGCCAGCATTCACCAAGGTAGATTCGAGCCTTTCCAACTCCAATGATGAAGAGAGAACTAGGTCAGGTTTTCAAATTCCACCTCCATATCCAATTGGTTTGATCTCCTATTCGGACAACAAAACTTTGGTCCCAGAGATAACAATTCTAACAGCATTTTGTTCAAATTTGTACCCGATGAATTGTGAACATAGTGTTCGGGGTTGGTAGGGAACTCACCCACTGGCTTGGTAGGATTGAGTCGCGGACGCAACGTGGTTCGGCTTCGTTCCACCTGTTTGGATACGATAGACTGCGCGTAGTCCTCAAAAGATTGTCCTCCAGTCGAGGAGAGATTATTCAACACACACTCGGATGTTACACAATTACGATTTAAATCCACAAGATGGTTACACAGCGTATCCCGCTCATTGAAAGCTTGACTTCGTAATGTCATACTATACCTTTTCAAATTCAGGTGAATCCGCCTTAACTTCAAATGAATCCAACCAATCGCATTCCACCGGGAACCCCACAAGATTATTAGTGTTTCGGCCGTCAAACGTCACCGATTTTACCGGGTTTGTCTAAATCCCATCCCTTTCGTAAACAAAAAGTACTTTTCGAGAGAGTTACCGAGCGAGAATGAATGTTTCGGGGAGGGACGGGTCAGGTGGGCCGTTCTCCCCCCCCCTCCCCACACACACCCGTTCCACTCAGGAACGTTGTGTTATACAGCGTGCGTCATAGATACGACTAAACGAACCCGGAGTTAATTGACCGCTGTCGGTCGGGTAAGGGAGCGAATCACGTCAAGATGGATCGATAAATCGGTCACCATGCCCAGACGTGAACGTGAGCATGGTTCATTGCAGTCTAAGCTCTCAATAACCCAGTGAATAAATTCCATTGAGGCCGAGTTTCTCTCGAATAAAACCGATTCCTTTGAATCAAATGCGATTGCTTACGTATTTCTGATATTGAAATGCACACTCGACAAGATACTTAGCATGCATAAGATGGTGGAGGTGACTACTGCAGTTTGTTTCTCCTCTCGAATCATTCGCCACTGGGATCAAAGATAAGTGCTCCTTTATCCGAAATGAAAACAAATCCAACTTTTGTTGATTTCTTTAACTAAACTGGGATAAACTTCAGTGGTTGATAGTTTTTACCACTTGCATCCCGAGGAAATGCAAAATGTTGACCTGCCCAACCTAGTCTGCGAGTTTCGCATGATCGTTTGCTTTTATCACTGCACGAACTGCCTGCCTTGATATGCCTTTAATCATCACGTGGCCTGGAAAATACTGCCTATCGAGGGCCTGCTTCTGTTTGAAATTATCCAGAAACGTTAAATGTAAAACCAGCCTACTCTAATTGTAAATGTGCTCAGCATATTGACTTCAACAGTGGTAGAACTTTCTGATTTATATCTCCCACTCACAAACCGTTCAGTGACTGAAACAAAAAGCTAACTATCAAATCTATTGAAGTCAAGCATTCCTATAGCTGTCGGATAATTTTCAAAAACATGATGAGAAGCATGCTGACATTGATCCTTCGTGATTTGAGGCTTAGCATCACCAGCGATACTTTCCAAACAAGCCATGTTGGTTTCTGGGCTGCGTTTTGATGTAACTTTTCGTAATGCTTCATATCATTTCTTTTCAGAATATACAGGGTGACTGCTTCATCGCAGTCGAGCGTCTCGTCCCTCACCCGTGACCTTAANNNAAATTCCCTCTGACTCCTGACGCGATCTGATTGGATCATATTCCGCGAGCTGCGACGCCTAAAATCTCTCAACCGAGAGACTGTCTGATTACCGGCTTGTACTTTTTGTAATGCTCTTGTTGTTAAGTTCTGTCCATCCGAGTGTTGATGACACTCCTGCCACACAGTCGAGTCAGTTCAATAAATAAATCCTAAGTAGGTTTTATACTGTAACTTTGTTATTTTACAGCTGATGCGTCAGCAACCTTCGCCAAACTCGCCGACTCGGAATTTAACTGCAGATGGATTGGTCGAGGAGGATCAAAGGGATCGCCTCCAAAGTCACCTAATCTGTCCCCCTAGGGTTTCTTTCTGTGGCGAACAGTTTATTCCCCAAAAGCGAGAACGATCAAGGAGCGAGAAACCACACCTTTTTACAGCTGAGTCTCAGNNTCGACTGTGTAGCGGGAGTGCCATCAGCACTCGGATGGACTGGACGTAACAACAAGAGCATTAGACACCGTACAAGTCGTTAATCAAACAGTCTCGTGCTGGGGTGAGGGATTTCAAGCGCCGTAGATCGCGGAATATGATCCAATCAGATCACGGAAAGGGTCAGAGGGAATTTACTTCTTTAAGGTCACGGGTGAGAGGTACGAGACGGTCGAAAACGATGGAGCAATCGCACTGTACATCGCAAACAACGACAAACGATTGTCGATCGACAGACTATGAGTATATGAGTAAGCCATGGTACCAACCAATATAATGAGTCTGATCGTAATCCTATTCGACGGTGATAGTGCATTTGGTCTATCTGAACACGTATTGTCTGAGATTTCGGAGATCAGAAGAATTCAGGTGTCTCAATCCCCTAAAGCTAAAAGCGTGCCGCTCCAACTGTGAAAGAGTGCAATCAGCAAACATGCTCGTTTTCGATAACTTCCTCATCTGGCTAATACAGTTATATAAATAGGTAACAGGCATAACGCATTTTCATGATGTTTGACGTGTGTGTGTGTGTACGAATTGGATTGATAGATATACTTGGTCGATTGTGTTTAAATTGCAGACAGAAATGCCGTGGTGGGTGGATGGGAATAGGGATGTGTCACATGATGGTTAGGATAGAGTCAAGGTTAATCCTCACCTGTTTGGGGCACAGGATCAGTCGATAAGGTCAACGGTCATGGAACTGGTCATCTCCAATCATGCGATTGAATTCACTACGTGGCCATGGTAATTGAAGTGCTTTAACAAATCGCTTTTTGGAACAAAGTGATGGTTTAAACAGACGGATGGCCATTGTCTCAGCTGTTGCTAAATGTTGTTGACGAACAAATTTAGACGGAAAAGGAGGCACTCGGCAGATCACCTTGAAAACGTCCTCATTCACAGTATGCCCCGTATTTGCGAACTGTTTCACAATGGCATTAGACATGGGTTTTCTGACCTCAGAAGTCAACCAGGCTGGTTTGTGTTCCTTGATCCTCTGGGAAAACTGCCTGATGGTTCTACCTACGTACCTTGCCGAGCATGAACAATCCACACACACACGCGTCAAACAATATGCAAATGTGATATGCCTGTTACCTATTTATATAACGTACTAGCCAGATCAGGAAGTTATTGAAAACGAGCTTGTTCGCTATTTCGTGTTTTCTCAAATGCAATCAGCGTTTTCTTCAAACCGGATAGACTGAGGGGAGAAGTAAATGACCACGGACTTGTTGGAAATAATGTAAAGTTGCTTTGGGCTTCAAACCAAAAGCTTTTAATTTGCAAAGTAGCTCAACAATTTCCTCGCAGCTATTCATCTTTTCTTCCACGCATGCAATTTTCTCAGGAGTATTGATTGCAGATTAAGATTGGGGGAAGTAGTGAATAGGTTCATGAGTTCCGATCATGCTTTGACTTTTGACCCACTTTCGCCGAATTAAAGTACAAATAAACCATAGTGGATTTCTGTTCTCAGTAGCATGTGTCCGATCTGTTGAATCACCCGATAGACTTCCGATAAATACATACGTAAACTGGACAAAAGTGTTCTCACTCCCTATCCTCATCATTTGAGAATAAAGTACAGGAAACATGTTTGCCCGAACTGTGGATTTGGCTCAATACTTCTAATGAAGCGTGGGGAGATAGAGGAAAGCAGCACAGACTAAGTTCTAAGTATAGCACTAGTAAATGAATCCGCAACTGTTTTACAAAAGACTGCAATGACAGTTCGAGATGAAGACCACGCTAAAATAAGAATCCGCATTGGAAAACACTTTTGCGTCAGAACATTGTCTAAGGTAACTCCAGAATACAAGTACTGGTAGTAAATTGTTGTGTAAACCACAAAGATTTCGTGTGGTTATCGATTAAACGTGTTTTTCTCCAACAACATGAAATCACTTATCCAAATAGACAGATTGCTAGTCGTTTTTTGCAAACTCACTCTTAAAGAGAAGAAAAGATAAAATAGGAAAAAGTAGTGCTTTAGTGGTGTGACAAGCTTTGAAACGGATTAACTGATATCCTCAAGTGATGGATTCCACAATTTGTAAATCCTCCACGGAAATAGGGAAATGCGTATACACAGATAAAGGGATTCGATAGAGCCGGGAAGCTGAAACAAAGTAATTTCGTATGGAAACATATGTATGCAAGTCACACACACACACAAAATACGGACCATTCGAACATACTGCAGGTTTCTGACATCATTTACCACAGATTGCTTTATCGAATCCCAATCTCACGTCGAAGAGAAAAATCTGAATCTTAGTAAAGCCTAACAACAAGAAGTGCAACCAATTAAAGATGTTCATTGCAGGATTGCAAAACAGAGTTCATTCCAAATAGTGGACAGTTAACTAACATCGAAACCAAAATTTTAAGACATTATATGCAAAGAATATGTTCTCAGAATGTGTTTAAATTTCTGATCAGGAAAAAGTGACAGCCGACGCATAGGGATGGATAGATAGGCGGTTACTGTGGATAGGATGGGTATGTTTGGATCAGGTCGTTGTGTGATAGTTCTGTCACATAGCGCTTTAGACAATATAATTTTGGAAACGTCGCTTCATGCAAACTCGACAGCGACTGATTTCCCGCAGAACGGTTGTGTCATCTCTCACGTCTTCTGTCATATATTTGCCTGGTGGCCTCTGGAATTCGGTACCGTTGTTCACGTGTCGCAGGTAGTATGCTTTTGCATCAGACCAGTAGTGACAAAGACTCATGCCGTTGTTACATTCTAGAAGTGGAGAATATCGGAAGTATTCCAGGCAACTTCCAGGGGATGACAGTTGTTGTCCACCACCAGTGCTGCCAGCTGTGTGCTGAAACAGATCAGAATAAAAGGACACAGATGTCAAAAAGCGTCTATTTGTGACTGATCACTAATTCGGGTTTTTCAGAACACTATTCTTTGATTGTTTCTTCGGTTATCACCAAATTAGGTTATTTGTTTGAAGAACTAAAGGGATTTACAGGGTATATTGGATGTAAATGTACCATCAGAATGCAAGTTGATGATCATATCCAAAAGATAATTGTTTCGGTGAAAGATGATATCTGTTTGACGATTGAACACTTCGATTTTTCTATGCTTATCGAATGCTGTAGTATAATTGGTCTGAACTCCATCCTCAAATGAGGGCGAAACCTTCAATTGTAAAGAACAACTCTATGGCCAATATACAACCGTATAGACATTTCAAGTTGGGACGTTGTGATGCGGTTTTCTTGTAAATTGAAAATAATGTGGCTCACCATGACAAAACTGTATCCGTTCCACAGTTCTGACCATCCGTTTGGACAGTAAACATCATGAAGTTGATTGCCCTGGGCATGGAACGCATACGGTTGTGTCGGGGCTTCACAGATCACGCATCTTGCAACACGTCTTCGAACCTCACCCACATCCAACGGCATCATGGGCAGTGGTTCAGTGGTTGCCAACCAGTACGATCGATCAGCACGCACGCCTAACTGACATGTGCCATCGCGAAGGCATTGGAAGAATGGCATAATACTGAACATGCTTATGCAAGAGCTGTGCGATCCTGTGTTGAGGAAGTAATAAGAAGTCAGAGAAGATTAAAAGCTAATAAATAACATTGTCTGATAGTCATTTATAGTCATACTGATATCGTAAAAGTGTCAGAAATGATGTGGCAATTAATATCGCTATAAATCACTGAGATATTGGGCCTGAACTCATGAGTGCAAAGGTAGTAGATTTTAGAGTCCCTCCTTAGATCTTGCTTTACGCATTATCTAAACTCTGCTGGTTTCTCGGAGAACACAATATGACTTCATGAGAGTGAACAGGTTCCATAGGAATTTTGTACAAGAAACGTCCCCTGAGACATTAGGCTTTTTCTTTCCAGGATGCATCCATAATAAACTTTGCACAGCTAAGCGCCAAACGGCAAACAGTAATGTGTGTGGGGGTGAAAAGTTGCGAATCACTGCACGGGAGCTCGTTTGATAGAAGTAGATTCAACACGAGGATCCATACTTCCGTGCTAACTGGACAAAGTTCTTTTGCGGTCGTTAGACTTGACGGTAGATCTCATCCATACCTAAGGAATAGCTGATTTCACATGCTATACACCACCGAATTTTTTTCTCAGTTATCCTCAACCTGGATTATTGTTCTCTTGTAGATCGATTTTCTAGGGTTTGTTCGTCGATGCACACAGCTCGGTTTAATGCAGTCACAGTCGAGAGTTGAATTAATGATGGATAACAAATGGGAGGAACGTGCCCCAGTTATATTACAGTGTAGTAGCTCAGATAATCCTTACACTTCGAAAATGGAAATGATAGGTTTAGGCGAATGCAAGAATGCTTCCGGAAGTAATACGAAAACGGATTTAAGTAAAACTGAGGGTTTACCAAATGTCCGATGATTTTATGAATTATACTGATAAAGAGAGAAAAGTAATCACCTGATAATTCAGATGTTTTCAAAATGGCTACACTCTGGGGGAGAATGGCAGGATTCAAGCGGTCTTTAACATGGAGTTTTTGATTATACATTCTAACTGAACTTGAAGTATTACAAATTAGCCTTAGAAGTTAATTACTTCACTCACAGCGTAATAAAATTTGATTGATAGATATTGGCGATTACAACTTCCAGAATGGATGGTCAAAAATAATTTATTGCAAAATATCCGTTTGAATTAACAACCGTTAGAGGTTTTGTGGTTCAAGGGGTCAATGAATAATAAACATTCAATAAATGTCCTAGTAATCATAAAGATGATGCAAATATCCAATGATTATTAATTTGATCAGCTAAACTTACCGAGGTCCATGGTGACCAACTCTCCGTTCCCATTAGCCATGACAAAGCTGTATCCTTCGCCAATCTTGCTCGATCCAGGTGGACAAGTGAGTTCAGCATCAGGATTTTGGAAGTGTCGCGTAAATAGGTAGGTGGACAGTAATGCTTGTCCCGGTGGTCCACTGGGACCAATGGGACCAGTTGGACCTCGATCTCCCGGTGCTCCACGAGGACCCATATCTCCTGGAGGTCCGCGTACACCAGGTTCACCTTTGGCTCCAGGCATACCAGGTTCACGACCTTGCGGTCCAGGCAAACCCATTTCACCTTTTGGTCCTTTTTGTCCGCGACCAGCTGGTATTCCAGTACTTCCCTTCTGCCCAGGGAAACCTTTATCACCCTTATCACCTTTTGGACCAGTAATTCCGGTAACATCGTCACCCGCTGGACCAGGTGAACCCATTGGTCCTGGGTCACCGGGCAATCCACGATCTCCTGTCGGTCCGGGGGGTCCGATCCATCCAGTGTTACCTTTATCCCCAGGAATTCCATCCCGTCCAGGTTCTCCGGCTTCTCCAGGGTAGCCAACTTCACCGATTGATCCGGGATCCCCTTCAGGTCCCATTGGGCCAGGATCACCAGCCATTCCAATATCTCCTTTTTCACCAACTGGGCCAGGGCGACCACGTTCACCTTTTGCTCCGGGATGTGCTGGGTCACCGGGGTCACCAATATCACCAGGAAGACCCTTTTCGCCTAATTGAAACAACACAGTAGGCAGTTTTGTAGTTTAAAATGAATCGGAGGTTTAAAAGGTAAAATACATCGACTTGGCGCTTCAAATGACACAGATTATTAACTGAGTTTCTCTTGGAGCGACCGGAACATCTGCTTGTGTGCCCCATGGCTTTTTATGTGTTGAAGTACAATAGGAGATTACTTTTACAATAAACTATCGTTGAGTGTATTGAAACTGAAGCAAAACTTAAACCCTACTATTTCTGAGAGCTATGGCAATCAATGGTGCCACATCATTCCTCTGAATAACACAATTATATAATGGCTTTCTTTCTTCGGTATCGCGTAAATAGAATTGAACACTAAATTTGTACAATAAACTTACCAGGAAGACCACGTAATCCAACGTCACCCGGTTCTCCTCTAGCCCCGGGGCGACCACGTCCCGGAGGTCCAGGCGGTCCAACTTTACCAGGTTTTCCAGGAATACCTGTATATAGATGTTGGACACAACAGATCGGAGTTAAAAGGTGCCTCACAAGATAAGATTGCAAAGTTGGGTATCACAGATGATATAAATGAATGTAAAATGAATATAAATGGTATCATAGATGATATATTCCACATGTTTAATGAGAAAAATTCAAGGCAAACTTCCTACTGATACTGAGGATGATGGGTACCGATTAAATTGAATTACTAAATGATCACCTACAGACGAAAGAGAGAACTGAAATGTGCAAATCGACCTCCGCCGATCCGCCAATGCTACTCCTGATGGATTTGAATGTCTTTTCCTAATTCTCAATAGAATGTTTTAAATTTTCAGTGTTCTATCAGATCATTGGAATATTTGTATACAAATCTGCTGCAATAGGAATTGAAGACTCACCCGGCAATCCCTTTTCACCGACCGGTCCAGGTGGACCTTGTGGCCCGGGGTCTCCCGCAGGACTCTCTGGAGACGGTAAACATTGTCCTGGCGCACCTGCAAAACCTTTCACACCCATTTGACCTTCGATGCCGACATCACCCGGTGGTCCGGGGTCACCGACATCACCTTTCTCTCCCATGGGGCCTGGGAAACCATCAGGTCCAGTTGGGCCTGTGTCACCCTTTTCTCCGGTCATTCCAGGTTGACCCTTTTCACCTGCGCGACCTGGGATGCCAGCCACTCCTTTGGGTCCGACGTCACCTGTGAACGGGTAAACGTACACGCATTTTAGTGAAATGAATTAAACCAACAGTGAGCATGTAGAGTAGCTTTACGGCAAGGTTTTGAAGCTGTCGGGTGTAGAGGTCACCTATTCCGCAGTCAAAATTAGAGATGACACGGTATGACCACTTCTGATCATGAGAAACCCTAGGTAGTGTGTGGTTTATTTCTTACTGTGGAGAAAGGGAAATAATTGGTATGAATATACACTGATTTATGCTGTCAATAATCTGTTTTGGTGAAACCACATTACGAACACTGATAATGTACTCAACTTCATCGAAATGTTGGACTCCACATGGTTCCAATAAGTATAAAAAAACTTCACATAAGAACATCAAATGTGAGTAAACGTTGTGTTGTCAGTGGAGCAGTAAGGTTCTTCTATGGCACTGTTCAGTTGTACGGATTCAAGCGCAACCAGAAACGTAAAGAATTGTGAATAACAAAATGAACTGTTACCGCTCACAAACCGTGTTTTATGGATGAAAAAATCGTGGCAAATGCAAATGAATTTTACTGATTTGCGTTTTTATACCGTTCGAATTTGCTTAAAAGGCTTTACAGAAAAAAACCCGTTCATATCTACAGAATCAGAATTACCTAAGAGCAAATAATCGGTAAAAAAATTGAAATATAGTTTTGTCTCCGAAACTCACCTGGTATTCCTCTATCTCCCTTTGGTCCAGGAATTCCGGGAGCACCACGATCCCCATTGTCACCCGGCTCTCCATCTCGACCGACCAATGCAGGCCCAGGTTCACCACGAGAACCCTTGATACCACGAATACCTTTCTCACCGGGGAAACCTTTGGGTCCAGTTACACCCGGGCGTCCATCCATACCCGGTTTACCAGGCCGTCCGCGTAATCCAGGTTGACCTGGTTCACCAGGTAGACCCTTGGGGTAAGAAAGGAAAAGAAACCTCATGCAAGAAATTTGGCGAACACAAACGATAGTGAATCGAGACCCTTTAGCAAGGACAAACTACCGAAATAGAGATAATGGACAGCAACGCAATGCTTGAACGTATAGTCCTGCTAACATTTTTGTCTTTTTGTAGGCCTCGTTGATAATACTTTATTACCTGCAACATAACAATCCCTCTTGAAAGATTTTTAAGCTTATTAAATTATTAAATTTGGGACATAAGGAAAATGAATTTTTTGAGTAAGGCGGATGGTATGTACAGTATGGCTCAGCGGATCATACGCAGATATGCTCCAGTATCCATTTGCATAGTTTCTTCAAAACTGCATCTAATTACCGCTTTATGGAAGCGTCCAAGCAAGTGGAGAGTATACGCATGTTTACTGTGAACAGAAACAAAGAATGGAATGGATTCCATCAGACTCAACAAAGTTGGGAAACTTAAAGTCCTCATATGTGACCTAACCAGAACTACTCAGGATGCTCTGGAATCGAAAACGCAAACGCTTCCAAGGAAAAAATGAAAACGGTTACCTTTGGTCCCATTGGACCAGGTGTTCCTGGTTCACCTCGTGGACCGGCCTGACCAGGGTCACCAGGCATTCCTGCAAAGCCTTTCTCACCCATATCACCAGGATCTCCTACATCACCAGGAATAGCATTCGCAGACAGACCAGGTTCACCCTTATCACCTCGGATACCCGGTCTTCCGGTAGATCCTTTCTCGCCTTGTTCTCCTGGCATACCCATGTCTCCAATGTCACCCTTTTCGCCGAAGAAGCTCTTGCCCGGGGGTCCCATATCACCTTTTTCACCAAAGATGCCATCGAGACCCGGAGCTCCTGGGCAAAAAAGTCAGAAATTGGGAGATGCAAGTAAGTTGAAGAATGGGTGCTAAAGTGAAATAGAGTAATGAAGTTAATCGGCCAGAGAAAACGATTATGTGGGTTAGTGCCTATCACCAAAACTTTGAGGTGCAGTCGATTCATCTGAGGAAATCAGTTAAAATATTTTAAAAGTATAGAATTACCTATGAAATGTTTTTAGCATCAAAATAAATCCAGGAGGCAGTACAACCAAATAAAACCCCTTAATAAACCATTTAACTCAATAACTTAGAAAATGCGGAGAATATTACTGGCTTCAAATTTTGACTTTGTCGTTTGTTTTTTAAGCGGATTATTACTCCTTTGAGTTTTACAGGAAAAAGTGCGAAAAAGGTTGACGTATAATGCTACAGACAGAAGGGACAAGTCATTTCCAGATGTTCAACCATATAGTATTGTACCTGGTTCTCCCTGCAGGCCCTTTGGTCCGGGAACTCCTTCGAAACCCTTAGGACCAGGCACTCCAGGTCGTCCAGTGGGACCTGGATCACCAACTTCACCGTTTGCCCCAGGTAAACCAGCAGGTCCACGTTCTCCTTTCGCGCCTGTGGTAAGATGAGACAAATGTAGATGGGAAGAAGCGATTAAAAGTCAAACTGAGCACAGTGTTTGACAGATACGAAAATGGCCCTTGGTCACGCGCATTTTTTATCTGTTACCTGGAATGCCGACTTCTCCCGCAGGTCCTCGTTCTCCTTTCACGCCTTTGAGACCCATTTCTCCTTTACGTCCATCAGGACCACGCGGACCGGGCAATCCCACATTTCCTTTCTCCGCTGGACCGAGGCATTGACCTTCGACTCCCTTTTCACCTTGTCTTCCAGATAGACCTGAGGAAAACGAAAAAATATTGAGCCTCATTTCAGCAGCGCCTAATTAATACAGAGACTGGGAAATTTTTACATGAAAAATCAGTGTGCGCAAACAATCTGCTGCAACTAAAATTAGTTCCATAGAAATCGCATAAGAGTACTACCGCTCTATGTAAATCGTATTCCCTATGAAGATTTACGGTCTCACAAGTGGCCACAGGTTATTCGCGGTGGTAAAAGTGTGATTTAAACTAATTTTGTTCCACTCTTATTCGTGTACCTGAGGTTAACCTAATCCATGGGTTATGCTCTTGTCTCTATCAAGTTACAAGGAAAATAGGACATTAGATGCATTCAAAATTCACTGAAGATTCCCATTGTACCACTTGAGAAAAAAAATAGTGAACAGGCTTGTTTTCGATAAATTCCTCTTCTGGCTAATACAGTTTTAAAACTAAGTAATAGGCATATCACATTTGCATGACGTTTGATGTTCGTGCGGATTTTATTGGTAGATATAATTAGCTTATGGTGTGAGGTTTACAAAAACAAAACGAGTGTTGGGTGGAGTGGAATAGAGACGAGGCACATGAGAGTTAGGACCTAGTCACGGTTAGCCATCATCTGTTTGGGTCAAGGGATCAATAAAAAAACGCTCCAAGTAAGAAAATAACCATGCTCATAAAATACTGTTAGTAATGCTCACCTGGCTCTCCTGGGTCTCCTGCGTCTCCTTTGATTCCTTTAATCCCGCTGCCTCCACTTGGACCCGGATCTCCTTCGAAACCTTTGGGACCAACGTCACCTCTATCACCCGCCAAACCTGGTGCCCCGTCAGGCCCTGAAGTGTGAAAACGATGAGTAGCAGGGAATAAGCCATGGGGAGATTTTGGTAAACGTTACAGATTTGTGGATGGTGTCAAAATGTTAGTAAAAAAGTTATCCACTGAACAGTATGTGGATGAACTAGTGCTAGTAAAGCGTAACAAGATATAAAATCGAGAAATTACTAATGGTATTCCATTCGACTGAACAATGAAAATAAAGATAATTAAAAGAGAACTTTATGCGAATACTCCATTCATGTTCTCACGCCAAACGGCCTAATAGAGAACAATTTCCCTTGAAAGGAGAATACAATTTTATGAAGCTGATATTCCAGGAGTACGACGAAACGATTAAAAAGACTGACTTTTCATAAAAATAAAGGAGAAAATGCTGGGTATTGTTTCTCGGATCTGTAACTGACTGAAATCACCTTCGTCTGTTCTCCAAACTACTTTTTTTATTTTTGCGAACGTTTAAGAATTCACATTCTTTGAAGCAATAAAATGGTTAAACCTGGGATAAAGATAACTTACCTGGATCTCCAGGTGCTCCAGTGAGCCCGGGTTCTCCTCTCTCCCCTTTTGGTCCTGGCATTCCCGGTACTCCAGGCATGCCGCGATCACCCTTCTCACCGGTTCCTGGCAACCCAGGAGAACCTTTTTCACCCTTTGGACCTGTGGAAAAAACCAAATCAAAATGATAATAAAGTTGGATTGTTTTTCATAGATCTTACACCAACATAAATATCACTTCCTTCTACAAATTGAATTTGACGATAATCGAAATTTGCTCAAAACTTTCTCTATCCGCACCACAACTTTAGTCTACAAGATGGTGCTTTCTCAAAAATCATATTTATAACCTATTAGGTAAATTAAGTAGTGACAGAGGCGCATTTCTGTTGCGCAATCAGGATCTTGTAACTCACCGAACGGACCGCGATCACCTACTGGACCCGGTGCCCCTCGATCTCCTTTCGGACCCATGGGGCCAGGTAGTCCAGGATCACCGCTATCACCCCGTTCACCAGGTTCACCTGAGTAAAGAGAATCAACGCAAAGTCAATTTCACAGATCATTAGCAGTAGCAGCAGTGTAAAAGTAACAGAGTTTTAAAAAGTACGAGGAACAGCGGGTGAAATTCAATGGAAAAGTATTTATTCGTCTTCGATTTAGCCTTTTTCCTAGTGGAGTAATTTTATTCGTATGACTCAAGGAAACAACAAAACTTAGAGGAACCTCGTTATGGAATCTGGTAATGAGTCATTTCCTTTAGCTTCTCCAGTCAGGGGAATTCAGCAACTCTCACACTGGATTTGTAGAACCTATACCGATGTACATGCACAAGTTACTCTGTTGATTTTTCACTCCTCGACTCCATCATCAATTTACATACCAACTGAATGAACAGGAACATCCACTGTAGGCTTCATAAGACAGTATTTTTTCTGTTCATTTGTGAAGTCTGAATTTGGATCCGCAACAATGCAGACGGATATTCACAGTTATTGATTCCTAATTGGATTAAAACGGCTTTACCGGAAGTTTCAATGTTTCACTTCCCGTTTCTTTTGATCGGAAAATGTGTTTGAACAACTGTTGTTTGTTACTTCCTCCGTGATCGCTAGGAAACAAAAATGTAGTCGTTGCGTCACTAACACGCAGTACAATTATAATTGCAACCTGCGCTTCCTACTGCCGGGGAAGGGGAAGATCGAGATTCCGGTGCTCATTTGGGGGAGATGATTGGTTGAAAGAGTTTTGATTTAATAGAATTATTGACGGGGTGATATGGACACCTTTTTGGAACTGTTCATGCACATTCACAGACATTAGAGTCTACGTTTTGTGATGCTAGCTTTCAGTATCTCCTAAGAGACAGAGGGTTGGGGAAAGCCACTCATTTAAGGGAAGGCATTAAAGCGCGTGTGAAGTTCAGTGTTCAACACTCGTATAAGGATAACAGACTACTTTGGAGATAAGGGTTTGCTCAATTCCCTATTTGAGCAACTATGTAGACTTAACCAATACCTTCCACTCATCTTACAAATTCATAGTAATTCTTTTATGATAAAACATTTGGCTCAAAAATTCACATAACATGCCCAAAATACTATCAATTAGAATGCAGTATTTTTCCCTGTTGATGCTCCACACACTTACCCGGATAACCGACGGCACCTTTTGGACCCGGTGGTCCAGGTCGACCAGGTACACCCTTCGCCCCACGAATCCCATCATCACCGGGTTTGCCCGGTGGTCCTTCACCACCCGGTTTACCTTTGTCCCCGCGGGGACCCGGTTCACCTTTCTGACCACGATCACCTTTCTCCACTAGAATGAGGGTGTAAATGGGATTGAGCCAACGATAAACATGATCAACGATCGCGNCGCGGAATTATGAAACGTATTATCAGAATACTACTCAAGCGAGTGAGTTGATTTATAAAACGTAAAAAGAACGTCGAAAATCACGAAAACTTGCCTGTCATATTGTGGCTGCGGATCACATTAACCGTACAGTTACCAGGAATGCCAGGAACACCAGGCTCTCCAGGAAGACCAGATCGACCGGGGGTACCTTTGTCTCCCTTTAAACCTATTAACATCTCGGCCGGTTGACCCTTGAATCCCTTTTCACCGGGCATTCCCTTCGGACCCTTTTGTCCAGGCAAACCGCGTTGTCCAGGATCACCCTAAATAAGTGAAAAGTATATGAACTTTCAGACCACACTGTACGCGTAGTTGTCTCTACTCATTGATGGCAAAGGAAAAGTAAAAGTAAAAAAACAACCCCATTAGGTACTCGTTATCGATTCGTAAAAGTGTATTGTATTTTCTTCAATAACAATTCAAACTCAGACAGTTGTGTTAGATATACAGACTTCCATGCAGTATGGTCAAATCGGTGTATTTTGATCAGTGTGGAAATCAAACTCACAGGAGGGCCTTCCAATCCACGATCACCTTTCTCGCCTGCGTCACCGTACATTCCCTTTATTCCTTTTTGACCTTTTACGCCGTCCACACCAGGATAACCTTTCGGACCTTTGACAACTCCTTGATATTCCGTTCTCGTCTCACCCGGTTCACCTTTGAAACCCTTCGGTCCGGGAATACCTCGGTCACCGGGAACACCCTGAATCGGTTCGAACAGAATAAATTGCCGATAATCTCAGGTGAAATGCGATGTCATATTCGACACCAAGTTACAGAAATCTGGCTTATAATCTCAGTTGAAGAAGAAAACGAATTTATGGGTAGGTGACTTGTTCGCATTGATGATCGAAAAGACCGAGTAGTACTGAAAGCACAGAGGCGGATTCACCTTCCAGTTCGTTGTCATTTTGTGCTGAATAATTAGCTTTTTTGCTTCATGTGATTGTAAACAAAAGATTAGTGCGAATAGTAATTTTAATACAAAACCCAGTTGTTTTGTATGGGGCGAATGAAATATTTTGTGCTACAGAGTCAAGTGTAGATAAGTATCAAGACAATCCAAACAAACGATAATTACACAGTCGCGTTTCTGTTCATATAAGATTATATATTTGTCTGCAACACTCACATAGAGATGGTTCAGCCCCTAAATTGATTTTACCTCAAATAACTGTATAACAAACATTGGTGAAAAGTTCCAGGACTAAAAGAGAATAAAGTTTTAATTGCTTTACTCAAACGGCTTACAATTATTTTGATTATTTATTAGAAATTTGAATTGCAATATCAAATAAGTGTAAAATATGCACCATATTAAAGCGAAGGGAGTTTGATGTGATGGTGCACAACGATCAGTCGACCTGACAAATAGAAACAACAAAAGTAGCATATAAACATGATAGTCTAACTACATACACACACACACACATGCACATACACGTACATGCATGTTCGAATCACCTCGGAGTTGTATACGATGTCATCATCCCATCGTCTTATAATTGCTTGTAAAGTGAGATTAACCGATTAAACGACTTGAAAAGGGCCTTCCAAGAGGGTCGAAACGTTGTCACCAACGCCATTGTGTTTTGGTTTTCATTCGTCGTGGCTAAGATAAACTAATTTCCTCAATAATAGTCTAACTGTTTTTCTGTTGATCCGCGAAGTGGCGCGTGTTGCCTACAGAGGTATCCGGAGTTTATAGGATTGGGATCACGTCCGAATATCCCATGAACCTCGTGATTAGTCCTTAAGACGGGTGCCTTATTTGTATTACTTTGATTATAGCCTTGTAATCATATGCGATCATGATGAAGAAGGGTACAAAGGTTTCCGTATGTTCTCGCCTCAGATGACTTCAACTACTAAACCCGAAAACTTGATAACCTTCGGAGGTGTCAGTTTTTCTTTTCTGTAGAAAACCGATGCAACTCATTGAAATAAATGTGTCTAGGGGAGATGAAATTCACACGGACAAAAATATATCACTCTCCAATTGAATTTTTTTAATTCAAAGATTATGTCATGAGGATCACGAGGCTTCGAGTCGAAAGATCAACAGAAAATGAGTCTGTAACATGCACATCTATAATCAATGGGGGGGGGACGCTCTGCATGCCGCTCACCTCGTAACCCGGAGGCCCCATTCGCCCGGGGTTACCTGGTGCACCACGATCACCTCGTTCTCCTTTTGAACCGTCACGTCCGCGTGGTCCAGGTGTTCCAGGAATTCCTTGGTCACCTTTTTCACCTTTCTCTCCAGGGATACCCTGTCTGCAAGGATTACAACGATCACCGGGTTCACCTGACAAATAGGAACAACGAAACTGCCGCGTTTAGTGAATAATGAACATGAACCATTCTGCTTGATCTTCTGTTGGTCTCAAAATGATTTCGGATAACTGGTTCAGCTAACAAGCTGAGCGATTTAGTTTCGATTTATCCGCTGAGTTTGAACAACAAAATGCTGAGTTGTAATGCTTCCTAGATTTTATAAGCTTTTTCATCAAGTGATATATCAAATGGAGATATTGTGTAGTGAGTTTTAGGAGTGATTGGGCAATTAATCGGTCCCGAGGATACCTATGCGAATCCTACTACTGAAACCTAATGCATCTCGTTGTGACGACCGACGAAGAGCGCTAAACAACCATCCCATACATCCGTGTGGAAATCCATCAGTGGCGCGTACATTTTGTATCGCAACAAGGAGGAAAAAACGTAGGGTGAATTTTCAGTCGAAATAAATAATTCCATTGCTATTGAAATGCATAAAACATATAGGGAATTGCGAATGCTCAAATCAAACCCAAAACCATAAAACCGTCCCCAGTGCTCGGATAAATCGAAGCAGTTAATCTCAAGGCACAACGTTGTTCCTCAACTCTTTTTCACTGTCTCTGTTTGTCACCCTTATTTTTTCAAAGTTGAATTTATACCCGCTGGGTAATAAATAAAACGGAAATACTCCCAATCATTGCTTTATGATTGCAGCATCTTTTCTCAGAAAGATGTATGAACGAAACTCAAGTGGAGTGATTCAGTGAATTCATCACGAACTTACCTTCTGGACCTGGTGTACCAGGTTTACCGCGTTTTCCCATCAGCCCGGCAATACCTTTTTCACCTTTCTCTCCCATGGGACCAGGGAGACCAGCACCCTTGGTTCCGGGTGGTCCTCGTTCACCCTGTACACCTTTTGGACCCTTGGGACCTGAAAAAAATAGCCGGTGCATGGAATCGTGATGAACATTTGTTTGTTTTTCAACTGACAAACGTATTGGCTACTAGAAAATAAATCGAATAGTCAAAAAGGGACATCACAAGGGTTGTTTTGAAGAGAATATTTGCACCATTGGCTCAAGTGGTGCGATAAGATCCTCTATCACAAGGACGTGTGTTAAGGAAAAATATGTTGGTTGTAAACACTCAACTTCATTTGCTTGAAAACTACACCATACAAGTCATCTAGAAAGGGTTTTCTTGGATACAAGTATATTACATCGCATAAAGAACATTCACTTCCATATTTTCTTATTTCCCTTTCTGTGTAACAGCATGAAAAGAATTCACTGGATGAAGTAGCCAGCTTACTGAAATGGTGTTTGCAAAAGAAACACTTTCATGCAAAATACATTTTGCCAGAAAATAACAAAAAGCATTCAGCACAATGGACTCGGGCAACTATGGAATCCATATAATCTAAAGCTCTATTCCGAACCCCACGTAAACGAAGAACCTAGACATTTACTCCAGTCAACGACTAATGACTCGCGGTCACTCAATGGTTTAAAGAGCTTAAGAGGGTATGTGAAGCGATCGTGAGGGAAAATCATCTACTCTTCAACACGTTTTTCACGGATCTTAACAACCAGAAGTATACAAACATCAACCTGAGGGCGAAACTTACCGGGAGGTCCATCTGGACCGCGATCTCCAGGATCACCAGGCATTCCACGCATTCCACGACCAGATTCACCCTTGTCTCCTGGGAAACCATCATCTCCCGGACGACCTGGAAAGCCGACTAGACCGGGTCGACCAGGCTCACCTGTGATTGGTCGGGGAAGGGAGGGGAGCAAACGCCGCGTTAGGACAATAAAATGCAGTCAATAACGGAGAGGAATAAAAATCTAGCAAGTTCTGTCGCTAGTTGTGAAACAGTATGGGGCACACCAATCACAAGTGGTTATGGAATCTGCACTATTTCACTGACCCAACACAAAAAATGAAGCTATCCTCTTCTTGCTCAAGTCATGCGTTGAATGAGTTTATGATGGGAATGTGATTTCTACTCGCGATTATGATCGACCTTTATCCTTTTCAGCATTGATGTAGATTAGTGGTAAATTCTGTGTCAAAACCGAAGCTTTCGCTTGGTTAGACAAATTTAACATTTCATTAGGTAGAACTTGAGTTCTAAAATAGTCAGGCACTTTTGAGAAAGTTCTGCAAGGTTTGTTATAAGACACTATCCGGTAACCGGACACCCACAACAAATTGAATGCTTTAATGTATAGTACCTTATATAATATTAAGGTAAGACATTTAAATTTGGGATTAAGGAAAACCGATGGGAGCAAATACCAGGTAAAAATTGGGCAAACAACTCACTCGGATCAATAATGATGCTCAGATTAGCAGACGTGCATGGTTGAAAAATCACAAACGCGTTGATATTTTACAGACAATGCGGATAGCTTTATCACTCCAGAAACGAATCCCTTCTCCCATTGGAAAAGTATTTTAAAAGAGATATTACTTAAGCCCTCAACCAGAATGTGACTTTATTCTGTCAGCAACTTCTCCCTGATCGTGATACTGCTTTCAAAAGCAAATACATTAGGATTAATGCAATTGCAGGAGTATTTATTTATCGATGACAGTTTGATTCTTGACGTTTGATGATCCAAATGTAGCGTAACGTTTTACGTTCAGTCAACACATACTTAAACTCGTGCATTCAAAACTAAATTATATTCACGGTAATTCAACCAAAAAATCAGTAGGTAGACTTTTTACCTGGAGCACCCTTAGGTCCAGGACGTCCCGGAGGTCCGATGGGACAGTCAGGACCCATATCACCCATTGGGCCTTGTGGTCCGATAGCGCCTTTTAATCCCCGATCCCCGTCAACACCGGGAAGACCGGGTTGACCTTTAGCTCCGGGAGCTCCGGGCATACCACGTGGACCAGGACGACCAGGTAAAATTCCAGTACACTCCGCTGAACCCTACAGAATTTAGGGTATAAAAACATGCTCGAATGCTTATATGGGAATTCAAATACTTTGGAAATTGATCAGGTGACAAATGATATCAGTCTGCAAATGATGTTTAAATGTTACCAGACTAGTGTCCCAATTCAAAACTTCTCAGTAGGAATGAGTGCGGAAATCCTTAGCATTTCCACAATGCTAAAATGTAACTTCCATGGACACAACAATGAAACCTCAGCGTGACTATCGGACTTTCTGGTCGGTTTCTGAAACCACTTACTCTTTTGGTATAATTTGAAAACTCTCAGCGCCCACCAGGTCCTATAAATTGATGTGTGTTGTGAATAAAAACGTCTTTGATCGTGAACACCTGTTTGCGTTCTTTTGCAGTCATTACACCTTACAAAAGGGTCTATTTTGTGTGATTCTAACGTGACACACTTTCGTAATATGCGAACCATGTCAATGTTTCTATAAGTGTTAATGCTGATTCAGATCGCTGAATAAGGCCGAATGTTTCTGCCCGACTTTGGTGGTAGGCAGCTTTGCTGTCGTCCGGTTCAATACCACGCCTAACCTAGCGGATTCACCAATCCAAGTCCTGGGGCTTAGGCTACCAGTCTCCATCACTGAACAGCAGGTCTTCGTGACTATGGGGTTCACCCCGCCACACACACGTGTGTAATAAGAAACTTGTCCCTCCGGAGAGCAACACTGTATTGTCAGTAGTGCGACTAAAGGCTAAACCGGAGGTGCTCAGCAATGAGTGAAGAAATATTGATGGTTACATTTGATTGACCTCTAAAATTTCACTCTGAGACACCTGATTGAAGCTGAAGAATTAAATGATGCGTGTACGTGAAGAACATTATAAATGTTGATTATTTAGGTACTCGGGAAGAGAAAACTTACACCAGGCTCTCCGGGTTCACCGTATGGACCACGCAGACCGTCTTCACCCGGATCACCGGGGGTTCCTTTTGGACCTGGCAAACCGCGTTCACCAATCAGACCATCACGCCCGGCCATACCCTAAAAGTGCGCATGTGAATAAAGCGGATAATAGGAAGATCATCACCACTTTTACTACTGAGCTGTTTTCTACTCTGTATCAGCATTAGAAAAGAAAATCCGTGAACAAAAGGAGTACTAAACACCAGAAACGAAAAGTCTGAAAGCTGTTTGCATAGCTATTTTGAATTTGCTTGCGATCACAAAGAATCACAGTCAGTTAAAAACATTGGGACCTCGAGCGTAGAACAAACGATAGAACAGTAGACATATAAAGAAAAGGTTCTGAGTTTCTTGTACAAGACCATCTTGAGAGGTTTTTTAGAGATCACCTGATACCTTATATAAGTCGGAATTCAAAAGTTGAATGAAGGAATGATACGTAAGTTGCCATTACAGTTGAATGTGCAACACGTATTAGATGAGAACGAAATTTACTCCACTCATACGAAAACCAAGGAAGGACTCACTTTTAAGCCTGGTTGACCCACATTACCTTGGAAACCTTTTGGTCCCTGTGAATGTAGAAGAACAGGCATAAATGATAACCTTATCCAAGATTAACAGTCACAACAATTGCCTAAACCAATTTTTTTTAAATTTAGTAAAAATGATTCGCAATTATTGTTTTTCATTTCAAATTTCGCTTTACTTAAGTGAGTAAATTACCCCATTTTGAAAATATACGTTAAATTATAAGGCATCTATGCGAAGCTTGACAATTAGCAGTTTGATTCAACCAATTTGGTCTATAATTTTGTCAATAGTAATATATGTTTTCTTTTTTCTGAGAACAAATGACAGTGCGGTAAATTTTCATCAATGGGGTTGCACCTAATCTGAGACTGAGGAGAGCTGTGGTGAGATTCGAATTCACCACCTCCCAGTCGTTAAGTTGGTAATCTTGGTCGCTAGACCACAGCCAGAGGACCACAGAGCAGAGGGAATTCACAGATAGGGTAAAGATTCGAAGATGTATTAGAGTGTACTCTACTTCAACACACTAACGCCTGTTTCGAGACGGTAGAGATACATGGAATCTAGATAAAAGTTTGGCGATAGGTTATTTGATGTCGAGCCCTTTAATACCTCACAGTCCTCAGCAATGAGCGATTAAAATTTCCTATTTACATGCTGGTTTAAAATTATGAGTGCACAGTTGGCCACAACAGATAAATAAGTGACAAATCTAAAATCAAATCAGTGCGCCACTCTGTTCTAATGTGATTCCGCAGATATATTCTCATCGAGATCGTTCATTAGTTTAAATGTATGACAACGGCTTTATATAGAAATTATCACACCGAAGAGGAACATTGAAACGACAACTTACCGGTGCCCCATCAGGTCCAGTTTCACCTTTTGGCCCCGGATCACCAATTGTTCCATCATGACCCTATAGGAGACACCAAAAACAGAACATAAAAAGAAGGGATGAGTTGGTCAGTCCAATAGATTCCCTCTGACATAATTGTATTCCTCCAACTAAACGGTCATGAATAGCGGATTAACGAAATACAGAAATTTCGAGAACTGTTCGATATCACTACAATATGGCGTAGTTATTTTCCTTCTTCCATATTACTTCGTTATTAAATGAATCAGATAATCAACTGTTTTTGCAGGAATCCAAGCATATAGTTTATTCGAAAACCCTTTTGAACATGAGTGGTGAGAAATAAGTGGCTACAAACATAAAAAGACTACGTCTAATCAAGAAACGAAGTCCGTGAATGACAAGTATACAACTCTGTCCGGTATTTTCTATCTGTGATTTTGATGGGTTAAATAGGACCCATGTGTCCCCAGTTTAATAACAAG